CAGATATTCTTCATTGTCTTTGGGGCTCTATTATTGCTAAGAAATATGATTTCAGACTAATGATTATGCCTTTGTAAGTAAATGTTCTCTCTCTAAGAGCTTTGAGTGTTTTATTTATTTATTTATTTAGAGTTGGAGTCTCACTCTGTCACTCAGACTGGAGTCCAGTGGCCACTCCCGGCCACCGCAGCCTCGACCTGCTGGGCTCCGGCGATCCTTCCGCCTCAGCCTTCCAAGGAGCTGGAACTACAGGCGTGTGCTATCACCCCCAGCTAGTTTTTGATTTATTGTAGAGAGGAGGTCTCGCCAAGTTGCCCAGGTGGGTCTCAAACCTGTGGGCTCAGGCAATCAGCCTCCCAAAGTTTTGATCTCAGAGTCCATATATTGCTTCCATCCTAAAAAATTCTCAACTATTCTCAGTTTATTTAGATATTCCCCATTAGTCCCATTAGTTCCTCTATTCTGTTCTTTTAGATGTTCTTTTTAACAACACAGTAATCTTTGATGAAGGTAAATGTAGAGTAAACAAAGTATAATCGCATGCCATGTTGCCTCTGACTTTTAGCACCGGAGCTCTTAGAGAGACCAGGTCAGTCAGAGTTACACCTTTATGGTGTAGCCTATGACTCTGAGCCTTTGTGGTTATAATAGCAGATAATAAGTATGTGCGAATCACCTCCTACAGAGTCTTACAGTAAAATGGCAGGACATAAAAAAGGCTATTCTGTTTCCTTTAAAAGGCTGTAACTTAGAGCCTTTGAGGTGGCTTTATGCAAGGGACCCCAAATAATTAAGTGGTGATTTTGTGTGTGTATTTTTAGAATGATAATAGCTATTAGTAACAAAATACCCAATGGACAGTAGCTCCAATAATAGGAACATTTGAGGAGTCTGGAGGCATGGTATCTCAGCTTTCTGCCCTCCATTTTCTTTACCTTGTCACTCCAAATGATTGCAAGATGGCTGCAGTAGCTTCAAACACCATATCCTTCTACCTGCCCGTGCCAGTAGAAATGAAGGAATGGGGATGCAATTTTTTTTCTTGCGTGTCTTTCTTCTTTTTCCAGCAAAAAAGAACTATTTCCGAGATGCCCCTTCCCTGCCAAAAGAAACTCTTTCTATCTCTTTCTATGAAACTGGTCACATATTGAACCTGACACAAGAAAAAAGATGAGGAATGCAATTTGCTGGTTCACAACAGTCATAATATATCCCCTGGGTCTGGGCATACTTCTATCTACACAAAATTGGATTCTTGGTTTTTTTAGTAAGGAAGTAGAGAAGGTGATTGTTGAGCTTATGGGTATACAACAGTTTTCACCATCAGGATTGCAAATTCAAGATGATAATTTCTATATTCGTGGAATAAAGAAGAAGTTGGTCTATATTTTTTGCATTTTCTGTCTTATTGCTATAAAAAAGGAAAGCAAGTTGGTGGAATTTTTCAGAAAATGAAATCATATTGACTATATACTTTTAAACAAAAAAACTGATCCAACAACCAGAAGGCCTGTGTCTACCTACCATCAGTGAGTTATGAGGCCTTGGACATGTCACTAAAGCATCGTTCCCTATGTATGAAGGAAGAAAGATCGGATTAGATAAATTGCTATTAAGCCATTTCTCATGTTAAGCTTCCATGAAGTTTTAAATCATCAGCTTAATTATATATAATTTTCAAACTAAAGGTAAATTTACAGCCAAATGTTATAACTCATAGGGAAGCCTTTCACCCGTTGATCCCAAAGAACTAACATGGTTTACAAAAGAATTTAATTTAAGAATAAGAGTACACCTAGGAGAGATTCAAGCTCACAGCTCATATTTAAGCTCTGGCTAACATAATTACACTCAGACACTTTCTTTATGGTGAATCTATCTTGGAAGAATGTTTTCGAGTTAGTCTTCCCAAAAGAGCATTACTTTAGTGGTCTGTCTGGGGAGGAATGAGTTCTGAGGTAAAAATAAATTTTAGAGATGTTGGATTAATCACATTTAAATAGGTTTCTTTGTCACTGAGTTTCTTAGAGGATTTACAATTCTAAATCCTCTAGAGTCCGCACTGTATCATGTCTAGGGATAGACATGTTTTATTTATCCCATTTGGTTTTGATCTCAGAATCCATATATTGCTTCCATCCTAAAAAATTCTCAGCTATTCTCAGTTTATGTCGATATTTCCCATTGGTCTCTCTATTCTGTTCTTTTAGATGTTCTTTTTAACGACTCAGTGATTTTTGACGAAGGTAAACCTAGAGTAAACAAAATATAAGTGCATTGTAACTCTCCAAAAGAGATACATCTCTCAACTTTAATTTTGACTATGAATCCTTTTTTCATGGTACGTGTAATTATTTTCCATTAAAAAAATTATTCTCATAATCCCTGCTTTTGTATAGTATAGGTACAAATAAAATACTTTTCAGAAACATCTTATAGGTATGTAAAAATCCTTCCCTCCAAAACCTTTTAAAATTGCTTTTTAAAAATTCTGGCCCAGTTAATTATAAGATGCCAATTTAATAACATTTTTTTAGAAAGAGAAATAAACAGTATGTTAAATTTACATATCAATTTTACCACACATACTGAGGTAATAAATATTACATGGCAAAAACACCACCTAGCATTGCAAAGATACACTATTATAGCTGATGCATGCTTTTTTATCCCTAGTATTTTAACTTATTTGTCGGTAATCATTTTTAGGCTGCCTTTTTGAAATAATTTATGGAATATGTTCAAGAAAACATACTTAGAAAAATGTGGGCTTAAGCTATTCTTCTAAATATGCTATAATAAATTGCAGACTTAATTTTAGATAAAAGAAAGAGCGGGATAATGACAGTAAGAAAGAATAAGGAAGTTTTTACTGCTTATAAAAACAAGTCAGTCTACAAAGGATGTCAGGCAGGTGTCACACTAAAACTGCTGGCAGATCGAAATTTCAAATTCTACAGTAATTTTTGCAGAAATTAAGCTGCACAAAATAGGACTGGGCTTCCATTCCTCGGTCATGTAGCCAGTGAGGGATGGTTATTACCTAGTACAAGGGATGGTTATTTCCTAGCAGGAGAACCATCTTGCTGCTTGTCACACTGTAGAAATGACAGTAATAAAGAACACAGAAGAATTTAGAGGTGGCTATCGGGGAGCAAACCAGTCTCCACTGGTTTAGTAGAGAAAAGCAGCATTGAAACACACAAAAACATATAACATGTCTCCGAATTCTCATGGGGTCAAACAAGTCTCACTTGCTAATGAGTGTGTAATAGCAGAAGTGCCTTCTAAGCCCTAAAAATGCCAATTATCTAAGAGTCAGGAAGACCGGGGAAGAAAGTTCAAGACATAGCCTGTCCCAATGACAAAGTTGTAAATACCAACCATAATAAAACGATGAGACCTTTGTTGAGTAGATACATATATCCATTATTTCATCAAGTCCTGTGAAATAACCATTACTGAAAAGAAAACTCGGGCTTAGACATGTTGAGCGCCTGCCCAAGTTCTAGAGAACTTTACCCAGGTCATGGAGAGTGTTTGCATGGGTGTACCATGGAAGGGTGGAATGCCAAGGAATGCCAGAGGGAGTCAGCAAAGCAAATGGATATGACACCAGAATGGACTGGCACAGAGACACTCCCAATTGTCTACCATTTTCATGTTATATTCTTGTTCAGACTGGAATGTTATTTACCGCATAACGGTGATTTAACAGATCCCTTTATGGTCTTATTCTTCTTATAAAGGAGAGCTTGAGTTAAAAAAAATAAATAAAGATAAATTTCATTGAGTTCGTAGCCTTACCCATCTGCCTAACTAGACAACATTGCCATCTAGTGGCTTAAACATACTACAGCTCCCGCTTCTGGGGTGGGAAGGGGGTCCTGACGGGCCTCTCTGAAGGGTGTGCCCCGTAGCTGCAGTGCCAGTAATGATGGCAGGCTCTACCAGGAGCATACCACCTCATCCAACACAAACATGCGCCAACATTCAACTCCAGAACCCACCCTGGGCCCAAAGCTCCTGTAGCTCCCCCGAGGGCAAAAACCATCACTACCACTGAAACAAGGTTTCAATCTGCCTCACTTATTTGTGTCCTTTATTTGAAATTTTCAGATTCATTTCTCCTTCCTTCGTCCACCTACATGCCTAAAAATGTTTTCCAAACATTCTCTCAACTTTCCAGCAAGGACGTTGCTCTCTATCACCACGACCAGATAAAGAAGCAGGTATCGGTTGCAAACAGTTGTCGAGAACTCAATCGACAGTCAGTCTGTGACTTCCAAGGAGACCCAGAATCTGTTCTAGGGTGGGCAAGCAAAACTAGGCTGTGGTTCAAACAAGATGAAGATTTGCGGGACAGGAAAACAGGAAAAGGCTCACAAGATTGGAGCAGATGTAGCCTCAACTGAGATTCTCAATATTCTAGCGATAAATACTCTTAGCAAACATCCTTTGGGACCTGTGCTTTAATTAAAATCAGATACCCGCTGCTTCTCCTGATTTCCTGGAAGCCTTATGTAACCCTTTGCTTCTGCAAGCAAGTCACTTATTGAAACCACTATCTTCATGACAAAAGGGCACAGAAGGGCGTGGAGAAAGAAACCACATCCAGGACTGGACTGGACCACGTCCAGCAGAACGCTTAGGTGGGTTCTTGCCAAGGCCCGTCTGATCCTACATAGTTAAGGACATGAAGGATGTAAGAGTTCAAACAAAACTGCCATTCCATTTTTCTTAGCCCGTTCTTGATTAAAGGAGTATAGACACACAGAACATCATTTTAGATCTCTTTGAATAAAGGGACAGAGGGAACATTGGAAGAGGCAATTTTCAGAAATCCAAATACTATATGCGACTCCCCCAAATTTGCATCAATCAGAGGCGGAGTCATGCTCGTGTAAATGGATCTTGGTTCAAATTCATGTCAGAAAAATCTGGAACACACTTAACTTCCCATTTGCAAATCTCCCAGGAAAGCAGCCACTGATTCTTACCTATAATAAAAAGAATCTCCACCGCAATGTCGCTGACTGTCGTGCTCCGAGTCGTGGACAAGTCATCGTTGTCGATAAAGCAGACGTTGTAAGGGACGGTCACAGCAACATAAAACGTCGCCAACAAAATAAGCCAGTCCCAGCCAGCTTTGAAAGTGCTAAAATGCAAAAGGATGAATTTGGACTTTTTTGCATCAGAAACTTTATACTCCGGAAATGCTGGTTTATCTACAAAAACATTCTGTGAATAAAGACAAAAAGGAGAGAAGGGGGAAACAAAACATTAGAGGCAAGAATGACACAGCCTTAAACACACACTCCTGTGAGCAGGTTCGTTCATGCATGCCATATCAACGTATCTTACAAGTGACTTTTAGAAGTTGTTGATGCAAAACGCTTGATTCAAACTGAGCAGAGCTCTTTGTTACAAGGAACAACAACGTGCAGAGTTTCGTCATGAAGCTAAGTGAACAATCCAGATTCTGCTCATTAAAACACAAAAATACCATCACCTAAAACGTCCACAGTCACAAATAATCCTACACGCGTTATAAACACAAAGATAGATTCATAGTGCTCCTGTCATGGGGACATTCTGCATGCTTAGAGTTTTCAGATGACAGTCATTATCTAAAGAATCTATTTGACCTGATAGTCTACAGATGACAGCAAAGCTTCCTTTTTCTTTCCATCCAGAAAATATTGCTTTATGACCGACTTCCTATTGTAAACAGCTGTTTATATTCCTTTCAAAATATAACCAGGTTGTGCTAACTACATGCATTTTGGCATCGTGGCTGTTGGGGTATTTTCAGGTTGGGAACCCAAACCTCATGACTTTGATTGACATGGATTTGTTCTGACATTGGCCAGGCCTTGTTAAGCTGGTAAAGTGAGAAACAGTTACTTAAGAGTTATTATTCAAGCCAAGGGGGGAGAAAGGCGGTGTTCACCGTGCAGCTGATTACATGCAGAAGAATAGCTAGAAGTTGTGATCACTGCAGCAACACTTCACCCTGGATGCAGTCCAAATTGACGAACACTTCCCTCCTTGCTACGAGACAAAGGGAGACTCAACAATAACGTGTGACAAGCCTGCCTGCTACCAGATACTTACAGACCTTGCTTTGACCTCAATTAATGAGAAACACAAGATAGGTCATGGAAACTTAAATTTGGAGTTTAGGTGAATTAACAGTTCAAAGTTCTGGAATGTGTGTGACTTGTAAGTCACCGTGTCGTTTTCTTGCCTCAGTCACTGAGGAAAAGCAGATTCATGTGATGTGTTCCAGGAACTCTGAAGTATCTGAGGATTCAAGAAAGGAATACTTAACGCTAAGTGATGACTACCAGTGTTACACAGTTCTGCTACCTCAGCATTAACACAGCTCCTGTCTGGCATTTCTCTTTGGTGGGCATGGTCAAGGCGTGTTTCTACTTCTGGTTAATTTTCTCCCTCAAATCACACAAGCACCTCACAATGCCAGTACCTCATGGAGGGGCACTGCTCAACCGCTTCCAAATGGTTCTTGGGTGCCCATCTGCTGCTGTACCTATGTTCCATCCAACTTCCTACTCTGTGTCCTGTCTCCTCTGCCTTGTTCTCTGGTTTCAAAGAGCAAGTTCCAAGGGTGGACTTTTGGCATAAAACTGAGAGGAGGAGATGAAGTACCCCTGTTGGACTTCTCATCAAAATGCAGGCTGGTGCCTTGGAAGATGGAATTAAGGTCTGTAAGTATTAAGCTCCCCAAGTTTGATAAGCACTTTTAGTTACAAGAGCTCATAATGAGTTCCAATAACATTTTTGCCTAAATATTTCTTAGATTAAAATTATCATAAGCCATAGGGGACACTTCATTTTCTGTCCAAGTAAGTTTTCACTATCACATTACAGAAATTAAAATTTTGCATTGTTTGAAGGAAAAGTCAGGTCTTGGGGTAAGAATTTGGGAAAACTCAAAACTCAAGAAGTTTTTGTTGTTGTTGTTGATTAAGTTGATCATGTGAAGCATTAGTGATTCTGTTGCAAAAGTTAAACAAGACATTAGTTACCTCCTCAAATCAGAAAATAAATTACACGATTTCATGTTTGCAGGCTACTTAGGACATATTATTTTAAAGTATATTGAGATTCAATACTTCTCAGATTAGATTTAAATTTTGAAATGTGTGTTAACTTAAATTCTGCATACATGTTTTTATTTTGTTTTGTTTTTTGAATTAGGGTCTTACTCTGTTGTCCAGGCTTGTGTGCAATGGCACTATCACAGCTCACCACAGCTTCGACCTCCTGGGTTCAGGCAATCCTTTCATCTCAGTCTCCTAAGTAGTTGGGACTATAGGCATGCCAGCACTCCTGGCTTTTGTTTTCTTTTAAAAAAATGTTTATGTATGTACGTATGTATTTTGTGGAGACAAGATCTCACTGTTTTGCCCAAACTGGTCTCAAACTCCTGGGCTCAAGTGATCCTCCTGCCTTGGCCTCCCAAAGTGCTGGTATTACAGACATGAGCCACCATGCCTGGGCTCTTACATATATCTTTACATGGTCACCTGAGTGAAAAAAAATGGATGTTCCTCTTCTTGCATCACAGTATTTGTCAAGTGGTTTCAAAAAACCTTTTGAATGAAAGAAACTTTCTTACGATGGAAGTACAATTGATAAGTTGTGTTTCTTGGCAAGAAGTAGGGTAGGAAGGTGTATTATTTATAACCTTCAAACATATGGAGTTTGAGAAACGATAACATCAACTAATCTAGATCTCTATGATTTATTCATTCTGAAGCACAATTCTTTCTCTCTTTTTTTTGAGTTGGAGTCACTCTGTCGCCCAGACTGGAGGGCAGTGGCATGCTCACGGCCACCCTAGCGTCGACTTGCTAGGCTCAGACAATCCTTCAGCCTCAGCATTCCGAGGGGCTGGATTGACAGGAACACGCTACAATGCTCAGTTCATTTTTTATTTATTGTGGAGAAGAGGTCTCTCCAAGTTGCCCAGGCTGGTCTCAAACCCAAGGGCTCAGGCAATCCACTCGCCTTGGCCTCTCAAAGTGCTGGGATGACAGGCTGAGCCACCGAGCCCGGCCTGAAGCATATTTCTTTAGTGTCAATGATGTTTTGGGTGTTCAAATCATCCCTATGAATGAATGAAACACGACAGCTAACTCCAATGCCTACGTAAGGTTCCCTAAACGATTTTGGCAACATGTTTCTGACGCTATCATCTGAACCAGAAAGTGGGTAAGAATATGTTTCTACAGTCACTGCACTGGGTGACCTGCACACAGCATAGACCTTCGATGACCACTAACACAGTCCTGACCCAGAAATATCACAGCATTTGTAGCCCTCTCCTTGCAAGCTTCCCAAGGTCGTAGGTGATCTTGACAACTTTGTGTTGAAGACATTTGCATTGTTCCATTTTCATTTAATAGACAGAGGAACATATCGAAGAAGGCAAAAGCCAAATCCCTCTTTCAAGATGCACAAGACAAAGTGAGAGCCAGGACCGGTGGGATGAATCCTGACTCTTGGACCTTGCTAATGACCAGAGGAGCTGAGGAGATTTTTGCTCGACAAAGCTGTGTCAAGGAGTCTGCAGGGCGGGTGTCAGAGGCACAGTGGACTTGAGTCAGAAGATTCAAGACTGGATTCCGTAGCCGCTGTTTCCAACTTTGAGATTTTTTGTTTGTTTTTTGAGTTGGGGGTCTCATCTATCGCCCAGGCTGGAGTACAGTGGCATGATCAAGGCTCACTGCAGCCTTGACCTCCTGGGTTCAGATGATCCTTCCACCTCAGCCTCCCAAGTAGCTGGGACTATGGTCATGTGTTACCATGCCTGGTTTATTTTTGTTTTTATTTTTGTAGAGACAGGGTCTCGCCATGTTGCCCAGGCTGGTCTCAAACCCCTGGGCTCAGGCCATCCTCTCGCCTCAACCTCCCTAATTGCTAGAATTACAGACATGAGCCACTGTGCCTGACCAATTTTGAGATTTTTAATAAGTTGGGTTTTTTCCCATCATTAAAATGGGACTAATAAAAATCATACCTGGTACTGGTTTGCTATAAAAATCAAATAACATAATGTAAGTAAAAGGAATTTGTAAATAGCAGAGGGCTATAAAATATTAAGAATTCTTTCTTTCATGTGTGCAAATGTTATTACAGCCAGGCTTCTCACTAAATTGATTGTTTACTCAATAAACTATACAGATCATTCCTTATTCTTCTGTCTTTCCTCCTGCTACCTGCCTTTTGGCCACTTTACCTTCTTCTGGAAAGGAGACAGTGAACTGTGCCCTTCCACACTGCACTTCAGGAGTGAGATGCTACCTGTCATGTCAGAGTCACCATGTTGGTTAGAAATTTTAAATTACTGTGTATTATTTGAACGCTCCACTCTGACGCTTGTACTGATGAAATGAATGGCAATTAAGCAAATTAGCTAAGCCGTGGGAATTATGATTATTTTAAAATCGGATTTTTGACTACTATTTTGTACTCTGTTGAGTCTAAAGGGACAGCTAGCAGGCTCAGCAAATGCATTTGAAAGCTCACTAATACCTGCTACATTGACATGATTCTCCACTAAAAGCTGGACGACGGTGTCAGCTTTCCGTACTGCAGAATCTCTGGACAATATTTGTTTAGGTGCTTTGCAGGTTGGCTCGCATGGAATCAAGCCCAGACGCGGTTCCCTTTGTTTCTTCCTCGGACTTTGTGCTGTCACTAAGGCTGCCTTGGAAACTGGAGGGGGATGTGACCAGGCACTGGCAGAGGGACCCACAGATCAAGGGGTGGGCACTGTTTCAAGTCCCTGGACTCTCAGGAAATCAATGAGACACGAAGGCACAGGTGTCCCTAGAAAACCTTTATATTGAGTCAGGACCAAAAAAACAGCATGTGACTCTCCACATCAGGGCATGGTAGACCAGCACAGGCAGGGATGGCAGTCCTTGGAGGACGAGTGATTCGAAACATCTTGTTCTAGCTTCCAGAAAAACAATTACACTGAAGTAGAACGGGGTTTGCAGCACTCTTGTGTCTGTTCTCGCTTGCTGCCCTGGGTTCATACATCCTTCTTTGTATACCACAATCAGAGAAATGGACATTTGCATGTTGGCTGCATGGCCCTGTTTCATCAAAGCGTGTGTATGTGAGTTTAGGTGGCCTCCCAGTCGATGACGTCAAAAGTAAGGAGTCAAAGCGTGCACCTTGGGTGGTAAACTCCCAGAACTTCTGGATCTTAGATCAATTCCAAAACAGCTTTGGTTGCTGGCTGTGACTTTTTCTTTTCTTTTCTTTTCTTTTTTGAGTTGGAGTCTCACTCCGTCACCCAGACTGGAGTGCAGTGGCCGCTCCCAGCCACCGCAGCCTCAACTTGCTGGGCTCAGGTGATCCTTCTGCCTCAGCCTTCCAAGTAACTGGAACTACAGGCACACGCTACCACACCCAGCTAATTTTTTTGATTTATTGTAGAGATGAGGTCTCGCCAAGTTGCCCAGGCGGGTCTCAAACCTGCTGGCTCAGGTAATTCACTCACCTCAGCCTCCCAAAGCGCGGGATTACAGGCTGAGCCACCGAGCCCGGCTGGCAGTGACTTTTTCTAATGCCATTGGCAAGTTAGACCCTGAATATTCAATATGCCACTCATAATCATCCAACCCCTTAGACATGTTATCTTATTCTTTAATGTACATTAACGACATGGTCATCATTTGAAACAAACTTATCCGTGGATGTCTACAACTAAATACACATTGTTCTAGGTTTCTTGGTGAAGTCTTTTAGTGCTAAAAACCCAATCATGAAATTATGTGTGAAATCCTGGAGAATGTGTTTGGTGTAAACGGGAAGAAACCGTGTCTTATGGGGCTATGATCTGCTGTTGCTTTTGACAGATAAGCACCATGTTTCAGGAAACAACCTTGCTGTAATTTACTAAAAGGGCAACTTAAAAAAAAAAGTAATGTATGGTATGCAATTTCAAATCCAGTGTTTCACCGTTTGAAATTTCCAACTGTGTTTTGTATAAAATGTACATTTTTACATGGAACAATGACTTTGACTTGATCATGGTCTCCCTGGAGAAAAGCATTATATGATATTAGATAAAGTGTAAAACAGTTGGAGCTAAAATTAAAACAGCTAATTTTTTTTTTTTTTTGGGTAGGAATCTCACTCTGTTGCCCAGGATAGAATGCAGTGACCTGGTTATGGCTACTGCAACCTCGACCTGCTGGGCTCAGGTGATTCTTCCACTTGAGCTGTCCAAGTGGCAAGACTTCAGATGCATGCCACCAACCCCAGCTAATTTTTTGATTTGTTGTAGAAACGAGGTCTTGCCAATTTTCCCCAGCTGGTCTCAAATCCTGGGCTCGGCCTCCCAAAGTGCTGGGATTACAGGTGAGCCACTGCACCCCAAAACAGAGAAATGTTAACCAGCAAAGTATGAGAGTGTCATACAAGCTGCTGCATCATTTTGTCTCATAAAATGCAGACAGGTTGTCCCCACTGGTAAAACCCTGGTACCATATTGTACTGCACTACAATAATATTCTAATCTCTGTGCTGTGATAACGTTGTGATTAAGCACTTTTATTACAGAAACGCCTCACGACTACTGACCTTTTCCAGTTTGTTCTTTATAGGAAAGCACAAACCAAAGTGGAAAAAAAATATAGGAAAGCCAGTCAATGAGTAATTGAACCTTTCTTTAGCGAGTCAAACATTGCCACTGGGAGTAACTCTAGCATGCGTCGTGTACACACATACCACCTACATTATTTATTTTCAATTTGTTCTTTTCTCTTCTTTGCAGGTGCCCAGAGATATGATAAAGGACTGCTCGACTCCGTCTCCGGGCTGAGTCAAAGTGGGTCCCTGCTCTCGATCTTCCCTTGACTTTGTCTGGGGGAAAACAAAACTCATTAGACACCAATGAATGCATCATTTCATCCCAAGAATGCCCAGTTTTGACAACTCCCTTTCAAGGACACATAGTACATGTTTTTCAACACTTAATCTGCCAGCTCCTAATGACATTTCATTTAATCTTAGTCCCTTTCAATTTATATTCTTAATACAATGATAATAACTGCATTCATTTAAAAAATTAAAGTAAAACACACATGTAAATACAAGAACTTTCAAATTGCTGAGAAAAGCATGTGAGGGTGTCACTCTCTCCATCATGCTAACCCACACTCATCTCCCTGATTTCACTCTCGACAGCTTGCAAAATTTCTAGAAAAAATTCTAGTACATATTCTATATCCACATTTATAATTATTTTAATAGGTTTATGCAAGATTAAAAAAAAAATCTGTATAGACAACCCTGCAAAGAAAATCCCTAAGTGCACAGAACTGTGAGTCTATACAGAAAATAAATGACTAGCTGAGGATATGCACATTTTCACTTTTGGTATACATATTCCAAACTTCATTCCAGAAATTTACACTCCAAGCAAGTGAATGGAGTTGCCTGCTTCACCATACACAACCCAGAATTACGAGCTATTGAGTGAGGATGGTCGAACACTTTGATAGCTGAAAAATGCCATGTTATTATTTGAATTTATATTCTAAAAATCATGAGTATGAATGAATGCACTTTAAATATTTAGAACCCATTTGCATTTTTCTGAAGTCTATTCAGATTTTTGCCAATTGCAAAACTAAATTAGTACTTTTCAATTTATTTGCACTAGCTCTTTGTAGACAGTAATTGACATTTCTTGTCACGTATACTGCCAAAAGTATTCTCAATTTGTTACTTGACTTTGGAATTTATTTATATAATACAAAAATTTTAATTGTGAACTTGTCAGACTTATGTATCTATTTATATGCTCTTGCCTAGCCAAACTGCCTTCACACAGACATATATGTATGCCCAATATCTTTACATCTTTACTTTTAAATTTTTTAATCTTTGAATCTTTAATAAGTAGACTATATTTCAGTAAAGCCAGGCAAGGATCAAGCTATATTATTTTCTTTCCATAGGGCTATTTTTTGAGAAAACTAAATAAAATGGTTATATCACATTAAGAAACATTGAGTCTCTATTTGGCTAATTAGTCAACATACAATTTCATACTACATCTATGTTACAGTGATTGCAAAATATAAAAAAACACTAACAACTACTATTTATTTAAGCATAGTCATCAGATCTCTCTAGTATTATAAAGGTTCTGATTTCTCACTTTCATAAAATAATTTGTTCTGGTTGCTATGTCACAGAAGTCATGTAACTATTATTGATGGCCATTGTGTGCCACGTTCTGTTCTGGATCTTCAGTAGATTATGAAATTGATCCTCATAAATACCTTATAAGTGTTATTATCCTCCATTTACTGGGGAAGAAAACAGAGGGTCTAATAACATGTTATACAGTCACACAGCTAGTAAGGATATGTTACCCAGTGTCATGTCTATGTGACCTAGCTGAGTTTCTACCCTGACCTAACCCTGCTTATCTTTAAGAAACAGAATGACCTGTGAACAGAAGTTCCTCTCTTGCCCAAACCAGCTAAACCTGTGAGATTCAACGTGGAGGTGCACCTGACCTCTGAAGAACATCTAACCTTTTTATAATCTGCTTTCCAGGTCATTTATGACATGCCTTTCAACAGCCATGACAGAAAATGACCAAAAAAGGAGAGAAAAGGGGTGTGACTCAAATTCCAAGAAATCTCTGTCAATTCCCAGAAAAGACATGAATATTCCTACCATTGTTTGAATGTCCAACTCCTTCATTAAAGAAACTATATTTTAACCCTTTCACCTCCTTCTCAGAGAGAAGTTGATTTGCGAACCATGTTTCTGCTTCTCCACTTTATGGTCATAAAATTAAAGCCTGTCCTGTTTGACCCCCACTGAAGTTTTTGTATATTGGGCTCACAACACTGGACCACAAAGAGCTTCATGTTGGGGCCAAGCTGACTTCATTGATAACAGAGTCAGTATGAGAAACCAGACTAATCTTTCCTTCACAAGTGATGCCAAGTCTGCTAATGACTTCATTCAATGTCCACGATTGTTGCTTTGTGTTGGATGTCGCATAATGTCCCTGCCCATTTGAGCTTGGACTTCAAGTCTTTTAAGAGCTTTAATGACAGTCTCTATCCCCATACCTCTCACCAGGGTGCTTTAATGACCAACAAATAGGGTGTTTAATTCACTGTGAAAGTCTAATTTGATATTAACTTTTCTTTAATTATTCATCTTTTGCTGCATATCTTGAAAGAGTGTTTAAAGTAGACTTGAATTGCTAAAATAATTCAAAAATACAAAGAATAATATCAAATGAGGCACTTATAAAAACTGATGGCTGAACAAAGCACATTTCATTGTATTGCTAAAAGTTAAGATAATGTCTTCATGTGTTAGATTTTTTGGTCCACACAGAACTCTTGAAAATTGCAATTGAAAATGTAATTATTGCTCCAGCAGGGAGTCAATTTAAATACATTTAAATTTGAAAACAGACAGAGTTTTAAGATAATGGCTACAGGAATTTGGTAGGAATAGCCAGCAGGCTGGTTATGCCTTATGAATTGGCTTCACTGTGCTAAGTGGAATTACAATGTGGACTACAAAATGGACCAGATTAGATATTTATGACAATCAATAAGCTGAGTCCCTTCTCAGTAGCAAAATCTAATGAAAAACTGAGGCTTTTCCAAATCAAACAACAGCAATTTCATCATCTTAGAAAAGGCTTCCTCAAAGAAATATCAAAGAAATGTATTTGTCTTAGTCTTGGCTCTATATACAAGGAAAAAAAGGTTCCCGTGAACATTCTGAGTCACAAGTGAACCCTCATTCAAGATTGGGTCTAGATCACCATGTGATCTAGAATCTCCTAAGCTGAGAGATGAATTTAAAATGGTCCTTGTTGGTGGCTTCCAAGTGAAAAAATATCACAAAGAGAATATGGAGTAACTCATTCTTTAAAAAAAAAAAATACACACACACACACACACACACACACAAAATATTCATGACAGCAATACTTGTAATCTGCATATCTACAAACACATCAATGTATACATAAGTACATAATATGCACGTGTGTTTGTTTATATAACTAGAAACAAACCAGATGTCCAGACAGACAACAAAGCGTGGAATAGCTCAGTCAAGACTCAGAACATTATAATTCTACTACACTGGGCTTATGTGGGAATTAAATGGAAAATGAACAAAGTAGTATCTGCCTAGTAACATGGAAATATCTCAACAACATAATGTAGAGTTTAAATGCAAGAAATAAAGGATTTCAGAAAGCATGGCAACATTTTTGTCATATCCACACACATGCAAACTAACACATTGTGTAGAGAAATATACAGCCGCTGTAAGACACTTCGTAATCACATGACTGCAACTAGTTGCAAAAGAAGCTGGGAAATAGAGTCCTACTAAATGATATTAGTACAATTCTATGTCTTAAACCGCATTTTGGGTGCATGAAGATTTATAATAATATCTTAAACATATTGTATTTTTAATGCAAAAAATGTTTCATAACAAAAACGGACCAGAACAAAGTGATATCAGTCAATGAACAGTGGAACTTGATATAATTCTATGAAGTAGGTGGTGGTGAGGGGCAAATTGCTTGGGATGGATGATCCAGGGTTAAAGTCTGAAGAGGGAATAGTTCTTAATAAGACAGAAAGGGGGAAGCAAATAATAGATATGCAGGCCTTGGATGGAGAGGAGCTCAGCATCTTTGAAGAACTGGAAGAAGTCCAGAAGAGTCAGGACATAGAGAATGAAGGGAAGAAAGGCACAAACTAGACCACAGGCAGGAACAAGACAGATCAACAGGGTTTTTGAAGACACATTAAAATTTGTTCTCTTGACTTTAGTGCAATGATAAAAGTATTAGTCAGGAAGCAGCCTAAGTTGCTCTAGCAAAAAGTTCCTAAAATATATTGAATAAGAAGATCTCTCTCTCTCAATCTCTCTCTCTCTCTCTCCCTCTGTATTCTTCTCTCTTTCACTTTCTTTTCCTTTCCCGTAACAGAGCAGAGGTTAGCAATGTAGAGTGGTGGAGCACATGAAGTCATAACAAGATTTTAAACACAGAAATGACATGGGAGTATTTGAGTTCTCAAATAACACGTTGACTTATAGCGTGTGAATGGATTAGAGAGAGTCAACGGTGGTTGACAGATTACTCAGTAGCTCAGCAGAGACACAGTCAGCTTAGACTAGAGTGGTAGCATTAGAGATGGAGCAAGGCTGACACACGTGAAGAACATGCAGAGAGCAGAGCTGCCTGGTTTTGTCACTTCAGGGACCATGAAATGATCTAACAAGGGTATTCAGAGGAGAGGAGCAAGTCTAGGTCCTCCAACAGGTAACAGGGCAACTGTGATGCAGGAAAGAATCTGAAAAGGAGAAGCCAAAAAGGAGGAACATGGTCAAGGGAGTGTCAGCGAATCTGAGGGAAAAGAATGTTCAAACAGAGAGGAGTCATACCGTCTTCAGAGTTCACTTTGAGTGAGATACTTAGAGGCAAGAGACATCCCATCAACCTCTTAATAGGAAGAAAGGAGGAGATTGATTGTACATGGAGGTAAACATACAGGGTTGATGGCAGGAAGATGAGATAGCGCCACTCTGAAACAAGCTTTCCTTCCTCCCTTCCTTCCTTCCTCCTATTTCTCCTTCCTTTCCCCCTCTCTCTCCTCCTTCCTTCCTTCTTTCCCTCTCTCTCCCTCCCTCCCGTCTTCCGCACTTCCTTCTTCCCTCTTTTCTCTCTTTATTTTTCATAGCTTTAGAGGTGAAATCAAATGCTAAGAGTGAGGGGTAATTAGTAGGAGCTGATGCTTTGAGGGCAGTAAGACTTACAGAGAAAGGGAGGCCAAGCCCAGTAAGAAAAGTGG